GATATCCAAAATAGAATTAGGATTTTAGACCCCCCTCTCCATAAACATCTGCTTTGGACACTCTTCACCTCCCCTTCATAGGGGCCCAAGGCAAATAGGGGCCCTTTTTCAAAAGTTTGAATGGGGGGTGCAAATTGAAAGTTTGAGGGAGGGGGGGGGGGTGCAAATTGAAAGTTTGTCCCCCGTCGCGGGGAAGAGTCACTATGCCTCTGAGGGGCCCACTAACACTTTTTGCATAGGGGCCCAAAAATCCTAGTTATGCCACTGCTCCCGTTTCCCCTTACTTCTGTTGTGAATGTGTACCTTACATAACTAATAATTTATAAAGTAAATTTTTTTCAAGTACTGTTTCTGTTATTAAACATTAATGGCAAGATCTAGAATGTTTTGTAAATAGTAAATAATTGTTTTCTTAAAACAAAAATCTATCATGAATGCTTATTCTATAGAAATGAAGCAGAGCTCAAAACTATAATTAGTAGGTAAGTAACATTGGATTCATGACCACTACTTCTATTTTCATTCAATGTTTGCTTATCAGAATTATTTATCACAAACTTAAAAATTTTAAAATATAGAAAGCCTATCAATTTTTATTTACCCATTGAGCTTTTTTTAAAAACACTTTACTGATTAATTTTATGGGATGGTATGGCCTAAGCTGTAGAGCGCTAGGCTACTAAAGCAAAAGTCTCGGGTTTGAATATGGGTCCAACTCAGTAAAATGTCCCTGAGTCCACCCAGTTCTGATGGGTACCTAAATCATGTTAGGGAAAGAGAAGGCGGCTCGGCAAAGTGCTGACCACACCTTCCTTTGTAAGCCAAAACATATGAACTCTACTTCAACTGCCCAATGGATTACTAGATCAAAAGAGGATTCTTTACTGATTAAATTTTAAAATTTGTTATAAGCATTTTTAATGTCATCTATAAGGGTAAAAAGGGTTTTGGGATAATTAGTGAGGAGGCTGGTAAATGACAAAATACAACATTGCACTTTTATAGTTAGACTATCTCCTCAATTTTAGTAGTTACTTCTCATTTTTAACTGACTTTTTTTTTTTAAATGTAAGGTCAAAATATTTTTTAAAAGCTTGTCCCCTTATAAAAAAAATTTTGTTACAACATGAGTATATTATGGTTACAATTGACAATTTTAAGTTCGTTATGGTTAAATGTACAAAATAAGTATATTAAGGCTAAATTTAAACATAAGTAAATAAAGTTAAATTTACCACATAAATATATTAAGGTTAAATTTACAATGTAATGTAAGCATATTATGTTAAAATGTGATGTATGACCCACCTTCCCCCCCCCCCCCACCCCCCCTCCCCATTTGACATTTTACCATGTGGATGTCATTCATGAATGATCATCAGAGAAATTTAATGAAAAAAAAACATTTACTTTTCTGGAAATCTAACATGTTCTTTAAGAATTTTCTTGTGTAATCCAAGGACATATTCCTCTTCAAAAGGCACTTTTCCATAGATGAAACAATACAGCGTAATGCCCAAGGCCCAAATATCTAATGCCTAGAAATAATAAATATGGATAAAACAAATATTATTTCTAAATGGCAAAATATGTCTATTTTTAAAATTTCAACACAATAGTTTCAAGAATGGTTTCAAGCTTAAAAACAGAAAATATAAACAAAACATGTTATTGCTTGACCTCAGGTTAAATGGGTGTTGTGTTTAGTTCACTTAGCAGTTGGAATCTTTTACTCAATGATTGCTAGCTACAGTTGATATTTCATAACTTGACACATTGCCTGCCTTATTGAATATTTGATTGATATATTTGACATCTTGACACATTGCTTTATTTCAAAGTAAACTACATCTGTGAGTGAACTCAGTAGGCTAGTGGGTTTCTCTATTCATATGTTTTTTCAGCCGCTACACAGAATTGTTAACAATTACATTCATGGAAAGATTGTACTAAACTAAAGTAAACTAAACCATGAGCATTGATGTTTTTATCCCATTATAAGAAAATATTTACTTTTCCTTGAAAATTATTTGCATCATCCTTTAAGGTTTCAGGGGCCATGAATGCTGGTGTTCCAGCAGAATTGGTTAGAAAAGCATCGCCTCCAATAAATTCGTTGCTCACTCCAAAATCTGCTATCTGAAAATATAATAGATTAAATCTTTGTTTAGCTATACATTTTTACTATTAAATGTATGACAAGCCTTTATATTCTTCTAGTCTTACTTTTATATGGCCATCATCAGCAAGTAGCAGATTTGAGGGCTTTATGTCCCTGTGTATAATTTTTTGATAATGTACTGAAAAGCAAAAAGAAACTTATAAAGCTTTGGATACATACAAATTTGTTACACAGTGCTGGTGGGTGTGTGTGTGTGTGTATATATATATATATATATATATATATATATATATATATATATATATATATATATATATATATATATATATATATATGGCTCCTGCCTCATGAGAGAATGGAATTTTGCACCCAGAGATATTTTGTTCCTCCAGTGCAGGAACTGTTGTGGCTGATCATGCCAATTATAGAATGGCAATATTTGCCAGTTATGGATGCGTCGTAGGCAGCGCATATGAAATGTGTTCAGTTAACATTCCTGGTGTCTGTACGTTGTCCAACACTTGGGGCTGTAGAGTGCTCATCATGCATACATTATACACCATCATCTTGGTGTTCCTGGTCAGCTTCGTATTCTCCCACATTTAGACAGTGGGAGCTTGTCCCCACTGACACCTCAAGGTATAACAACCATATATATATATATATATATATATATATATATATATATATGCTTATACCCAAGATTTTAAATTTCTGTCCCCTACTGTTATTAGCTCTGGATGCATATTGCGTGTGGGTTGTTGCAACTAACAGTGGTTTAACTAAAAGGTTTCTATAATTCAATAACGCACCTCAAAAAAGGTTTTAAAATATTTTTCCATCTCTTTTGGTGCTCCTACCCCAATACACATGTGTCTGTATGCACACATGTGGTTATGTATGTGTGTGTAAATTCTAGTTTTTTCAGGCCGTTTAAATTTTACTTACAATATTCAATTCCCAAGATAATATCTCGAAAATAGTTTCTTGCAACCTCTTCACTGAAGGGAGAATCAGTTGGTACAGTCATAACTTCACTAAAAATAATTTGTATAATTGTTGAAGATAAATGAAATGTGTGACTTGGCCTAAGAGTAATTTATATTTAATGCTTTACAAATTTACAAATTTGTTAAATTCTAGGTTAAAAAATAAGACAAACTTTAATACATAATAGGTTTTAGGTTATAGATTGTAATCAACAGTATTTTATTTATATCACCTTAAAAGCACTTATCCAGAAAACCTGGGTTCATATAGCACCAGTCAACTTCAGACTAGCATATTAACAGTGGCTAAATGGTTCAATGAACACCAGCTAACTTCAGACTGGAGTGACTAGCATATTAACAGTGGCTAAATGGTTCAATGAACACCAGCTAACTTCAGACTGGAGTGACTAGCATATTAACAGTGGCTAAATGGTTCAATGAACACCAGCTAACTTCAGACTGGAGTGACTAGCATATTAACAGGGGCTAAATGGTTCAATGAACACCAGCTAACTTCAGACTGGAGTGACTAGCATATTAACAGGGGCTAAATGGTTCAATGAACACCAGCTAACTTCAGACTGGAGTGACTAGCATATTAACAGTGGCTAAATGGTTCAATGAACACCAGCTAACTTCAGACTGGAGTGACTAGCATATTAACAGGGGCTAAATGGTTCAATGAACACCAGCTAACTTCAGACTGGAGTGACTAGCATATTAACAGTGGCTAAATGGTTCAATGAACACCAGCTAACTTCAGACTGGAGTGACTAGCATATTAACAGGGGCTAAATGGTTCAATGAACACCAGCTAACTTCAGACTGGAGTGACTAGCATATTAACAGTGGCTAAATGGTTCAATGAACACCAGCTAACTTCAGACTGGAGTGACTAGCATATTAACAGGGGCTAAATGGTTCAATGAACACCAGCTAACTTCAGACTGGAGTGACTAGCATATTAACAGTGGCTAAATGGTTCAATGAACACCAGCTAACTTCAGACTCGAGTTAAAACTAAAAGCACCAAGATGTTTAATTTTATATACTCACATAGACTATGATAGACACATTAATAAATGAGTAAAGATAAAAATAAAAATTCACAGCACCTCAGAAATAAATTCTTAAGTATATGGACTTAAAAATCTACTTGAATTATTTCAATGAGTAAAAAAACAAGTTATGAAATTACAAAAGGGAGAGAGAGAGAGAGACAGGCAGACAGACAAGTATATGTATGCATATATTTATATATGTATAATATGTAAGTATGCATGTATGCAGGTGCACTATTATTTTGCACAAAATTTGTAGTACTAATTCTATAGTCAGTGTTGAGAGTGCTATGTTTATTTGCTATACTGTTTGTCACCTATATAAAGTATTATGTTCTAAACAATTTCTTTAAGGCTCATCTGCCTTTTGAAGACAGTTAAGGACTTACAATTTCTACGCTGCTGACTTGGTTCTCTTTTTTTAAACTCCAGTTGAAAGCTAATTAGCAAACTTACCCTTTATCAACCAGCTCAAACACTGAGGAGAGAAAAAGATTCATCTGTTAATGTGAAAATCATAGAATTGAAGTTCAGTTATAAATTAACATTTTTAATAAGTGTTACCTAAATATAGCTTGTCTTCATCTGGATCATCCAAAACTTCAACCAGCTTGACAATATTAGGGTGATCCAACTTTTTTAATATGGCTATTTCTCGATAAACTCTTTCTAATGGGTTAGGAGGTCGAGAATTAGGTTTGCCTTCCCTTGCTGGTGGCATGCGTCCTGGGACCAAATTATAATTATTTCAATGGCATTTAGAGCAACAAAAGGATGGTTATACAATTACACAAGATTTTTAAAAAGATTTTAAGATTAAAAGAATATATAAACACCTTAACCATTGTATAGCTCAAAATGTGTACCATGTTCTTCTAAAAAAAACTTTTCAGGTTTATCAGTCAATAAAACAAGCATAAATCATTCATTTCTGCAGTTGATTTCATGATCATAATGTGGATAAAATAATTCATTTCAGAAATGTAGAATGAAAATTGATAACTAAAGTAATAGTTACTAGACTGCCACCAATTCTAACAATTAGTAGGCCTTTCGTTCATTTTTAATAAAGTCGACCATCAATACAAAAAAAAACCCAAAGAGTAGCTTGTGATTTCTTGAAGTCAATTAGCTTAGTCTGTGGTTGGTTCTCAGGTTCTCTTAAAAACTAAATGAAATTTTATTTTAATTAGATTAAAAATAAGGTATTCTTGCTTTAATTAATATAAATGATGAATGAATATGGAAAGTTTGGAAAAAATTGCTGCATTAGAATGGATCAAAATTGAGTTACAAGATTTACCCACGAGCAAACATTTTTAACTAAATAAAATCTTTGAAAAATAAGTCAAATTTAACAGTTTTAATAATTCCTGTTTAAAACCATTAAAAACTCAACAGGTGTAGGTTAAGTAATATTTTAAGGTTTTGTTTTTTAAAATGAATTAGCCATCATTGTTTAAAATGAATATAATCTTTATATTTAGTAACATTGTTACAAACTAATTCTATTTATTAGAAAATAATTTACATATAAAGTTTAATTGATAAAAGTCTCGGTAATTAGTTAATTGTTTACTTCAAAGTCCATTTCCAACTAATATATTTATTCTTCTAGAATTAGTATTGAAAGATTGAGATAATGATAGAAAGTATTCTGTTTACTCAAGAACCTCAACAAATAGTACCAATGGAGGAGGTTGATCTACTGCTTTCTATTATGGACTTAAAGGTAGCTGTCTTGAGAAAATGAATATATCCACAATTTAAACAAAGGTCCTTATAGTCTGAACTAGGTCTCAATTGCTCATATCAACAACTTTAACTAAATACTATAGTCGTCTTATCTAAAAAGACTCATATTTTATTGAAATTACTTACAATCGTATCTAAAAGAATTATATCCACAGCTAAAAAGTTTAGGGCCTATATAAAAATAATCATATCCATAAATTAGACTGAAATTACATTCTAAAGTAACCATTTTAAATTAGATATTTGTTACATTAAAAGTAAAAAAAAGAAAACATTGAAATAAGTGAAACTACTGCATTCTATGCAGTTAAAAAACATGTATTATGTATGTTGACATTTTCAGTTTGCACCAGTATGCCTACACTTTAGGCAATTAAAAAAATATTTTTTGCTAAAAATTGGTAGGTTGTTACGGGTCGTTTGAGGTCAGGTTAGAATAGGGTAGAATAGTCTCGAACTTAGGGGAGAGTGCGTGTGTGAGTTCACCCTAGTGTGTAGTAACCCCGGTGTGTTTATGTATTGTAGTCCCAAGGTCGAATGCATATATAAAAGGGCGAGTGAACGATTGTGGGGGGTCAATCAGTGGTTAGTTGATAGCTGGTAGGACGAGGGCTACGCTAAAATGTATATATTTGAGACTGAATAAAAATATTGAAGCAAACACGAATCGTCTCTCAAGTTGAAACCAACCCGAACATAACAACTTGTGGCCAGTATGGGGACAAAAAGACAAGAGGCTGTCCTGACGTTTGCCTGATGCTGGCCTGACGTTTGCCTGATGCTGTCCTGATGTTCGCCTGATGCTGTCCTGATGTTCGCCTGATGCTGGCCTGACGTTTGCCTGATGCTGTCCTGACGTTTGCCTGATGCTGTCCTGATGTTCGCCTGATGCTGTCCTGACGCTTGCTTAATGCTGTCCTGTCGTTTGCCTGATGCTGTCCTGACGTTTGCCTGATGCTGTCCTGATGTTTGCCTGATGCTGTCCTGACGTTTGCCTGATGCTGTCCTGACGTTTGCCTGATGCTATGGGGATGCCATTAGCCCGATGTTATAGCTGTTTGACATCGATTGTGATTTGAAAATAGGTTGTGCGATGTTAAAGGTTTGAGATAGGTCTAGGAGTCATAAACCAGTGTAGCCAGAGAGCGCAAAGGGTAGACTCAACAATTTTGGTGTGGAAAGTTCTTAGATTTGGTACGATGCAACTGGGTGCGTATGATTTGTTTTTGTTACTTACACAAATGTAATGTGCTAGCTCGAAATTGAAGCAGTCTGTATGTTTGGTTAAATTCAAATGATGTATTTTTTTAAAGAGGCTGATTAGTAGTCTAATGTATAATCCATGTCGGTAGCAGTTCTATATATTTTCATTATGTAACAAACTATAGCTATTATGTTCATAAAACTGTTTTATTAACAACTATAGTTTATTAATTACTGTAACTATCAAGTATTTCTGCTACTTCTTAGTTAATAGATTACTTACTGAAAAATCCAGCCTTTTTCATAAGCTTTGTCTTGGATAAAATTTTCATTGCCTGAAAATTATATTTATATTGAAAACTGTAAAAGATTTAATTTAATGTTGAGTTTATTATAAAGTCAATATTTTAAATTACACTTACATAATGTTCATCATCCTGCTCATTGTAAGCTAACTTGACAATACCATATGAACCCTGAAATAGAATTATAGGCTGTAAAAGTTGACTTTATTAAATAGTGCCTACATTAGGGATATGGTGTTTAAATAGTGCCCTACATTAGGGATATGGTGTTTAAATAGTGCCCTACACTAGAGATATGGTGTATCTAGGTAAGTGGGTACATTCAGGTGCTCAGTTGAGTCTACACATCTATACTATGGCGACGCATAATTGAGTCTTCTTTTTCATCTTTATCAAGAAATGAATGTTTCAATAGAAATGACACAATGTGAATGCTACAAGATTTTTTTAATGAATATTCTTCTATCACAGCAACATGTGACAGGTAATCGAGTAAGTGATAAAATAAAGACTTAGGGCCTGGCCACTACCAATATTTACCTTCCCAATCTCGTCTTTTAACTTGTATTGGTTTAACTGAGTGTAACCATCTGCATCAGACACAGACACTCTGTGGGTCTCCATTGTGGGCTGACGACGAAGTCTGGGTGAAGTTGTTGGTGAACCATAGGGGGAGTAAGGCAGGGAGGGAATGATGGCTCTATGGTGACCACTGGATGCTGTTAGTCTATCCTCAGAATGGCTGTAGACAATTTTTGGAGCACGCCTGACATTTACTGGGGCGGATGTAGCTGAGGGGGAAATGTCTTCATGAGCACTACTGCTGGTGCCATCTTTCAATAAGACACTAGTCCTGAAATATGGCGACTCTCTGGATGCAAAAGTTTCTGGGTAAGTGGGTACATTCAAGTGCCCAGTTGAGTCTACACATGCTATACTATGGCGACGCATAATTGGGTCTTCTTTTTCATCTTCATCAAGAGCTTCCTCATCTTCTTCCTCAAAAAAGCAATCATTATTATCCTCTGTACCACTGGTTGAACTACGACCAGAGTCAATGGTTATATTGGATACTTTGCGCTGAAGAGAATGTTGTGGGGAGTTTGGCAGTGATGCTACATTGCTATTGGCATCAGCAAAGGGAGGAGAATTGTGCTGGGCATCTGAATGTTTGCTATGTATGACTAACTTACTAGCTTGATGATTACTGACTAACAATAGTTGGCCATTTGAGTTCTGGCAAATGTTTGCAATTTTGTTGAACCCAGAAGGTGAATATGATGTGTCCCCATCTGTATGTGAAACCAGACATCCATTTGTCAGTTGGCTTGAGTCCTCGCTAGGTAAAGGATGTTGTGAATGATGCTTGAGAGAAGTGTAACTTTCAAATCCGTCTCCATCAAGGTCCACTGAAGTGTCCCTCTCAGGTGAAATACTTGAGTTCTTGTTGACCATTTCCTCATTGCAATCTTGTCCTCTAGCAAAATGGCAGTTTCTGAAAATGGAAAATATCATATATGTAACCTGTAGACAACAGTCAAAAGTGTCAAAGTCATACAAATTTTAACAAGGGGACCTACATAAATGCCATTACACATTGATATCCAATTTCCCACACTCACCTCCCTTTTTTCAAAAAAAGAGGCTAGAAATTCTAGTCTAAAGTGATATCAAAGAATTCCACACCTTTTGTAAATATTTATATATATATATATATATATATATATATATATATATATATATATATATATATATATATATATATATATATATATATATATATATATATGTATGTATATATATATATATATATATGTATGTATATATATATATATATATATATATATATATATATATATATATATATATATATATATATATATATATATATATATATATATATATATATATATATATATATATATATATATATATATATATATATACAAAAGGTGTGGGATTCTTTGATATCACTTTAGACTATATAGATAGTCAATCTTGGGACTTTTTTTAACCACCCGGCAATGCCCGGAGACGGCGACGCTTATATATATATATATATATATATATATATATATATATATATATATATATACACAAGCGTGAGCATAGCCCAGAGCAAATCGTACTCTGCCGGGACACGGTCAGACGCGCCTGATTGAGTTTAGTGAATGACTATAATGCTACTTTTATCCATATTATATCACAATCTTTAAAGCGAATGTTAGCCTCATAGCTATCGCAGGACGCTAAATTGCAACCTGTTGGGCAATGGCTAATGCATCTGATTCAATCTAGTGAACGACTAAATGCCCCCATCTTATTCATAGTGTATAGCACTGTTTAAAACTAAAGTAGCTGCAATAGCGCTCAAGAGATAGCCTAGGATGCCAAAAATGCATACCTGCCCTTGCGAAATTAAAAAAGATTTTTTTACAGATACCTCCCATGGAGTGTTCTAATCAAATCCCCAAAGTTTAATGGCGATTGGACGAACGGTGTCAAAACACAATCGACTTTTATTTTTATACACCTGATATAAAGAAAAAAACAAATTGTGCCCTGCGATCGGATGAAAGGTGTCGTAATGCATAAAAGACAAACAAACAAACACATATACAATGATTATATATATATATATATATATATAAAACAAAAATTTTGTTACAAATAATTTGTCACACCTTCCCTCCCCCCCCCCCCCCCCCCACCCCAATGTCCTGGCTCAGCATCACATAAGTCTAAATCCCCAATAGGTGTCTGACATAATTTATGAAGAATCTATAACAGGGTAAAGTAACAGACAAAAAGGTAAAAGAATAACCAAATCAAGATTAGTATGTAATCTACAACATCAACAATTAGTAATAAGTAATAGTATCTCAAACACAAATACACAAAACTGCAGGCAATAGAAAATAATTGTCTACAGTTTTATTATCTAGAAAAAAAATTAATGTAGGCAATAGTCTTATTTAGAACTAAGTAATTACTGTAGGCAATAGTTTTTCTAGAAAACACAATTATTGTAGTTGATAGCCTTGAAAAAAATTTACAGTAGGCAATAATTTGATTTAGAACAAAAAACTGCTATAGGCACTAGTCTTATCTAGATCTACAAGCAGGAGACATAATTAACTGCATCTTATCTCAGAGATAAGACAACAAACTCACACATCCAGGAATTAAAAACAAATAGCTAATCCATAATCTTTTTTCTAAATTCATCAAGCTTGATGCATATCTTCTCCTGTGGCACCCTAATAACTAGAGCAAATGTTGCTACAACAAATATATTGATCTGTCCCTAACCCAGATCCTAAGACAGGCAGCTAGCATTGATTTCTGGCCATGGTATTTGATGCCATAGCGACAACACACATTAGCGCCATTATCTCTTATACTAGTCTCTTTCTTCTACAGAGCCAACAATTTATCTTATGATATTTGAAAAAACAATGAATTTCAGCTGATTGTTAATTTCACATTCAATTATTTATGCAAAAAAAGCATATTTTGGGCAAAACACATTACTGACACTATTTTTTATGTACAGCAAAATGACTTTTTCAATATTATAATTTTATCAATAATTTTCATGTATTATGATAGCCAACTAATACTATTTTTTTTAAGAAAATCATTTTAAAATGGCACTAAAGAAATTTTTGGGGGTAGCAGCAAATGCTATTTTTAATTGAGATACTGTAAGTTGTAGAAACACAATTAATTATTTATATTTTGCCCACAATTTTTCCCAACTGCCCTAAAGCTTTAATATTAACAAAGTTTTAAAAAAAATTTTTAGTTGTTTCCTGTTTTTAAAGACAAATTAAAATACTTGCGTATAAAATAATGAAATCCGATGATGCATCCTAAGATGACATTCATCTACAGGTAACACATGTAAGAAAATTACTTCTAGGATAAAAAACACATTTCAACAGACGACAGGTCACTAGTTGACAGTCAACATTGAACCATGAGTAACACACATTACCAACAGATGTAGTAGAAAGATCAGCCATTAAATGAATAAAAACAAATTCAGAAAATATGAAAAGTGGTTCTTCACTTATTTTGTCTTTATATCTAGTAAAGTGTGGTGTGGTCTAGATATAAAACACTTGCTAGTTAACCTAAGGGTATAGGTCTGGTTCAGGGCTGGGGGTTGGAGGTTTTCCCCAGACTATAAGATACTATAGGGGCAAAGGAAAAGTCAGGTGGAAATAAATAGATCAAGAAGGTTCATAAATACTCTGCAGACCATCATATTGCTGTCTGCCTGATTAAAGAGGATTGTTCAAACTAGAGAAGAGCAAAGCTGTTTTTTTTTATTGAGTAAATAAATAGTTAATTTACATTTGATCCTATAATCTTGATTTGGAGCTGTTTTCAGCCTTATTTATTAGAACTGCTAATAGAAATATAATCAGTTTCTGAAGCAACAGATAAATATGACACTAATCAAGGTGTGGGTCACACACTGCGAAAGGCTCACCCAAATGTGACACGCCAAGGGCTTGAGTGGAACCCCCAGGGAAAGCGGAAGAGAGGGCGCCCAAGACATACCTGGAGGCGGAGTCTTCTTGAAGAACTAAAGCCAACAGGGATGTCTTGGGAAACGGCAATATTAATAGCCGGGGATCGGATGAAATGAAAGGAAATGGTGGAGGCCCCATGTTCCATAAGGAGCAAAGAGGACTTTCTTTCTTCTTCTTCTTCGTTCTTAATTTTTAGTGTTGGGAGGTATTGAGACTTATCTGCCAGAAGGTTTGAACTCGAGACTTTTTTCGAATTTATCAATCATGAGCTTTGCTTACTCGACCATGCTTCCATCACAATTAAGGATTACGTGTCAACTGGTTATGCGCCATTGAGGCCATTGACTCCAATTTCAGCCTGCTTTTCTTTTTGGATTAGCTTCCATAGCCTTTGTCCAACCAAGAACAGACTACAAGGCAGCAGTAGTTTGAATTTGGAGTTGTCTCTCCTAGAAGAGTGGCTGTCCCCAGCTAACGAGCCTCATCTGCCCGAGGGTTCGAACTCGAGACTTTTCGGTTTAGCAACCATGAGCTTTACCGACTCGACCACGCCGAACCCTCAAAGAGGACTAAGTCAAGTCAAAGTCAAGTCAATCAAGGTAATTATTAAAAAAGAATAAACTATGTATAATGAAAATGTAATAAGCCAATCTCTAGGTACATATTTATAGTTTGAATTATATCAAGTGCTTTCTGGCTTGAGACAACAACTGGTTTATTCCTAAAGTACATAAATATTAAGCTAGGGCAAAATGGTAGAATACTAATATAACTACATTTTACCAATTACACTTGCTATTGTACAGGCAGTCATTAGAAAATTACTCTTTTGAACCTTAAAGTGAAGTTGAATTCACCTATTTCAGTGAACTTGGCAATATGCCCATTTGTGTTTAATTTCCCTAACGTGAGTCTGGTACCCATCAGAACTGGGTGGACTCAAAGATGTCCAGCAGACTTTTAGGTTAGCAGGCAAATACTCTACCATTTGACCATGTTGTTTTCAAGGCCTATACATTATCAGTGGTTATAAAAATAAAGGCATGTTGCTCTAATGGGTGTACACAATAAATCAATGAGTTTCTTCACAAATAGGTAACAATATCATCTGCATTTTTTATGCTTTTTTATGTTTAACTTAATGTTTGGCTTTGCATTGTTTGTTATGAAGGTGTAAAAAGCTCCTTACACTTACAGGATACAAACTAGAAAGTTTAGTTTGAAATATTTTGATTGTACCAGAGTGTTGTTTTTTATTTGTCAGGAGAAGGGAAGACTGGAAATTATATATACAATAACAAAGGTGGCAAACTTGAACACTCTGACCATGATGCAGCTGAATGTTTCAGAAATGTTCTTTTGTTGCCCTGTATTAATATATACACATCCTTGAAAATATTTAGTTTATTGTTTTCCCCCGACATATGATTGCATATATAGTAAGTCTCTGATTATGTTTCTGATTATATTGAAGTTAAATGTTTAGTGAGTTGGATGTATACAAGTTTTACACAACAATGCATTCTATTTCCCTTTTATTTTATTTTTAAAAGGTCAGCTATTTAGAACTGATCAATTATTAAGTTGAATCTGATGACTTACCAATTACTACTGTCAGCTAAATAGAAAGCTTTGCAAGAATTGTTATTTTAATTGATATGTAACATTTTCTGCACAATGATCCTTATCATTTTCAAACTTTTGAGCGTATTTGTGTAACAAACAATATTATAGAGGAATGTAGGTTGATGTGTTGGTTAATTTTTATTATCATGTAAAAGTGTTGCTAATTTGATTCATGACAATGTTGCAGTTTGTTTCACGCTAGCTATGTTCAGTTATCTAAAGACACCCAAAGATTACCTCTTAACTGACATGCTTCCAAAAACACTCATATATGTTTCACTGTACTGATCTGTCTATGATACAGTTTGCTTACGAATTAGGAATATTTATTTTTTACTCAGCCTGTTCCTTTTATTTTTACTCCTACTATGATGTTTGAGTTGAATTATTAAATCAAGCCAGTGGTCTATTTTTATTTAAATAATATATAATACACCACTTTTAAATTTAAAAATCTACTACTATCTTGGTAGAGATACTCCATTCAGTTATCAATGCATTAAACAATATACTTATTTGAAAATTTATAATTGTGCACTTATGCAATGTTATTTCCCATTTGTCTTCTTTCTATACTCCTCAACAAGACACATTTTAGTTTTCATTCTCCATAGGCTTAGTTGTCCCCCATTTTTTTACACTAAAACCATCACATCAAGAGATCCGTTTATCCTATAAACAATAAATGTAAATTTGGTTTCATTTTGCAGCATTTAGTCCCCTTAATACAACACTGTAGTTAATATGTCAATTTCATTAATTAAAAATGTGTGTGCAACTAGCTAATATATATATACATATATATATACATATATACCTATATTTATATATATATACATACATATATATATATATATATACATACATATATATATATATATATATATATATATATATATATATATATATATATATATATATATATATATATATATATATATATATATATATATATATATATATATATATATATATATGTATGTATATATATAGGTATATATGTATTATGTATGAATGTAAGTAAACATACATGTATTTAAATATATACAGAGTTATCTCTTATGCAATCTTATGGAAGTTGTGGAAAGGAGTGAAGCAGGTGTTATAAACAATCTATTTCTAGTAATTGAACTGTAAAACTCATTGATCCATTTCCTTGAATCTCGAATATTTCTTATCTGATCAAGCTAAAATCACTCGCCTGATGACTTGTATCTAAAAAATCGTGCATATTAGGTCACTACTGTATCAGGGTACTACAGCTTATATAAAGATTAGTAGATGTTTATCCTGATTTATATTCAAAAGAAGCATATTCTACAATTAATCTATTTCTACTACACCCAGGTTAATGTGAGATATTATATTGAAACAATACTTACTTCTGTGGGTCACCAACTGGACTATAAGAAAACAGAAAATACAACATCTAATAGAAATCATGCACTAAAGGAGAATTCAAAGATCTAACAAATACATTAGAACATTTCAATTACAAGACAACAGTCAGGATTGTTTTTTGTCCAGCTAAGCGGATATCAGATTTGTTTTATGGCTTTCTTCTTTTATATTTTAAAGAAATCATTCCATTAAAACATAAATTGATTGCATCTGTGTATACAGATTTATTTTAGAATAAAAAATAGAATTAAAACAATACTAGTTTCAAATGTTTAAGTGCAAAAATCAACAAGTTACAAATGTAGCCTAATGCACGCAACAAATGCCTCACCTTATATCTCCAATCTTGGGTGCTTTTCTGGTAATTGACATAGAAACATGCTGCACATCAACTGAACAAATCTTGCTGGCACCTGAGATCAGAGAGAATAGCTGAGTCAACCAAACATAGGAATCAATGTTTGAAAGTAAATCGTCAACACTTTTAGTCAAAGCAAACAAACATTTAGGCAAAATACTCCCTACACAATGTGTTGTATGTACCTAACATCTAACTCCTAGCTTGGTAAAAAGCCTCTCATTGAGTAATGGTACATGTGTAGATCACTGATAAAGTCTGTGTGTACACAATAGGACAACACTAACAGTACATGTGTAGATCACTGATATAGTCAGTGTGTACACAATAGGACAACACTAACAGTACATTTGTAGATCACTGATATAGTCTGTGTGTACACAATAAGACAACACTAACAATACATGTGTAGATCACTGATATAGTCAGTGTGTACACAATAAGACAACACTAACTGTACATGTGTAGATCACTGATATAGTCTATGTGTACACAATAGGCCAACACTAACAGTACATGTGTAGATCACTGATATAGTCAATGTGTACACAATAGGACAACACTCACAGTACATGTGTAGATCACTGATATAGTCAGTGTGTACACAAAAGGACAGCACTAACAGTACATTTGTAGATCACTGATATAGTCTGTGTGTACACAATAGGTCAACACTAACAATACATGTGTAGATCACTGATATAGTCAGTGTGTACACAATAGGCCAACACTAACAGTACATGTGTAGATCACTGATATAGTCAATGTGTACACAATAAGACAACACTAACTGTACATGTGTAGATCACTGATATAGTCAATGTGTACACAATAAGACAACACTAACTGTACATGTGTAGATCACTGATATAGTCTGTGTGTACACAATAGGACAACACTAACAGTACATGTGTAGATCACTGATATAGTCAGTGTGTACACAATAGGACAACACTAACAGTACATGTGTGGATCACTGATATAGTCTGTGTGTACACAATAGGACAACACTAACTGTACATGTGTAGATCACTGATATAGTCAGTGTGTACACAATAGGACAACACTAACTGTACATGTGTAGATCACTGATATAGTCTGTGTGTACACAATAGGACAACACTAACTGTACATTTGTAGATCACTGATATAGTCAATGTGTACACAATAGGACAACACTAACTGTACATGTGTAGATCACTGATATAGTCTGTGCGTACACAATAGGACAGCACTAACAGTACATGTGTAGATCACTGATATAGTCAGTGTGTACACAATAGGACAACACTAACAGTACATGTGTAAATCACTGATATAGTCTGTGTGTACACAATAGGCCAACACTAACAGTACATGTGCAGATCCCTGATATAGTCAGTGTGTACATAATAAGACAGCACTAACAGTACATGTGTAGATCACTGATATAGTCAGTGTGTACACAATAGGACAACACTAACTGTACATGTGTAGATCACTGATATAGTCAGTGTGTACACAATAGGACAAGACTAAGATTGCATGAATAAACTACTGGCATTAAAATGATGGGGAATCTAACCTTCTATGTTGGGTGCTGTAGCTTTAAATCTCTGGTACATGATTGTCTCCCTGGCTTAATCCAATCTCTCCATGTTCGGTTATTATAAGCTACGTATCACGGCGGGTGTGTTCATACGAGAAGAAAGTCATGTTTGGGCTTACACGGCAATTATTCGATCCTCTACACTTGAGCGCGCTATTCAAAACAGAAAAGAATTCAGGTAACGAGAGCCGCACAGATTGTAGGCGCTAGTTATTGCTTCAGAAATTTATACGATGTATAGGATAATGTTTTATGTATAGGCTTCATTGTGTGTGTATGGTGTGTGTGTGTGTGTGTGTGGTGTGTGTGTGGCATGTGTGTCGCGTGTGTGTGGAGTGTGTGTGTCTGTGTGTATATGTATGTGTATATATATATGTATGTATATATGTATGTATGTATATATATATGTATGTGTATATATATGTGTATAAATGTATGTATGTGTACATATATATATGTATGTGTGTATATATATATATAGGCCTATATATATATATATATATATTATATATATAAGTGTGTGTATGTGTGTGTGTGTGTATATACGTACATACATTGTAAGTATACATCATCTTCTGATTACACAATTTGAATGTAAGACACAATCGCAAACTTGGCTATGAGCAGAATAACGGATGGAGACACTAAAAGACTGGTTTCTAATATTGCGACTTGTTGAATTCCTCTAAAGCTTTTAGTAGTAAAAGTTCCTGCCCTGCCGCACGCCAGCTAGGTAATTGTGTTAAGACAAAGGGCTGAGAAAGACAGTCTCAATAATCAATTCTTCTCTTCTACCAATGTCTTAACAAGCGATTCTTCTCTTCTAGCACTGTCTCAACAAGCGATTCTTCTCTTCTACCACTGTCTCAACAAGCGATTCTTCTCTTCTACCACTGTCTTAACAATCAATTCTTCTCTTCAACCACTGTCTTAACAATCAATTCTTCTCTTCTACCACAGTCTCAACAATCAATTCTTCTCTTCTACCACTGTCTTAACAATCAATTCTTCTCTTCTACCACAGTCTCAACAATCAATTCTTCTCTTCTACCACTGTCTTAACAATCAATTCTTCTCTTCTACCACAGTCTCAACAATCAATTCTTCTCTTCTAACACTGTCTTAACAATCAATTCTTCTCTTCTACCACAGTCTCAACAATCAATTCTTCTCTTCTACCACAGTCTCAACAAGCGATTCTTCTCTTCTAGCACTGTCTCAACAAGCGATTCTTCTCTTCTAGCACTGTCTCAACAAGCGATTTTTCTCTTCTAACACTGTCTCAACAAGCGATTTTTCTCTTCTAACACTGTCTCAACAAGCGATTTTTCTCTTCTAACACTGTCTCAACAAGCGATTTTTCTCTTCTAACACTGTCGAAGAAAAGTAGGCCTTAGTATTTGTAAGGAATACCATGTTGTGCAAGTAACGGACAACGCTAATGGAGCTGCGCAAAACTGACAGTAACTAAACTAAATAGACTGTCAATCCACGGCTATAAAACTAATAAGTTCCTTTGATAAATCCTAGCAGATATCGCCTACGATGTGTGGTCTTGTTAGATAGATGCTCTATGTTTAATCAAACATGAGATTTATTATAAACAAATTTACATATTTATACATACAGATATATACATATATACATATATATATATATATATATATATATATATATATATATATATATATATATATATATATATATATATATATATATATATATATATATATATATATATGCAAGGTTAGCAGGTTAGGATCTAGAAAGACCGACAGTGATCTATTTTAAGACGTAAGTAAACAAGATGACTCTGTCAGCAAAAATCCTACAAACTGTTTTCAATTGTTTAAAAGCTCGGGATGCCACGACCGGCTTGATGCCGTAAACTGAGGGAGGTTGTTTTTTTTTGGGGGGCAGACGGATCTTGCTGAGATCATTTAGGCTAAAAGCTTACGGTAAGACCATTGTTTCAATGAGATCATTTAGGCTACAAGCTTACGGAAAGACCATTGTTTCAATGAGATCAATTAAAGCTACAAGCTTACGGTAAGACCATTGTTTCAATGAGATCATTTAGGCTGCAAGAATACGGTAAAACTATTGTTCCAGATTTGAAAAGCTCCTTTCGCTTGTATTTGAATTGTCTGGTAAAAAAAAGAATTTCACTAACCGTAACATAGCATTGGGATTCGATAAACTTTAGCACATCATTTTTTTCCTTCACCTATAACAGTAGATGTACAAGAATGTCGCGTATTATTAACACAAAGAAACCCTAGGTTTAAGGATATATGCGGGTATTTGGGGTAGGGTGAGTGGTGAGTCCAAAAAGGCGCCCGTATGGCGACTTTTATTTATAGACGGCGTTGTCCGGGTATTATTACTCGCTATTGTGCAAAGATGTAAGGTTATTTTTATATAAAACATCACAACACAAAACTAAAAACACTAACAAATAGTGGGGTCGTCCATTCTTATATAACAGTAAGGGGAAGGTACTTCCAGTGCAATCGGGCGGTAAATGTTTTGATTGATTTCTAAATAGATCCGTATCAACTCTTGAGCGATTTTCGATAGCCGGAAGTGGTACTTTTTTTACTTTGAGTTTTTCAAAAGCCTATAGAGTCCTTTCATATGACGTCACGTCCGTTCGTGATACCTACGCCCGCCGCCACAGTGGTGTACACAAGACGTAAACACAATCAGCTGTTCGCCAGCGCTGGACGTGTTCACCAGCGCTGGACGCGTTCACTGTATGTAAAGAACCGCACCCGCGGAAAAGGAAAAATACGTTAAAAAACTTGAACTCTTAGGAATTGAAGATCCTTATACTGTTATTGACAGTTTCGTATAAATAAATATGTGGACAAAATTTCTAAATAAAAATACTGTTAGTAATACTGTTTGCGTTTAGAGTTAAAGTAGCCGAATATGATCAAATGCAGTTCTCGATACTTTGTTTCATGTAAGGACAGTAAAATAATAAACTTCATTTTAGTTATAAAAGATAACTATTAATAAAACAAATATGCTCGACCTTCACAAATACTAATAGTAAAAGACAAAGTCAAAAGTAATAGGCTAATAAGAATAATAAGATCTAATAGTAGGCCTAATACCTGGCTCCGCTGGGTAGACATAGAATCTAGAATCTACTTCTTTACTTAAATTTAATTACTTTAGATCTACATTCGATTCAAAGTACACCCATAATAAATCAAAAGTAGTCATAATTGGCCTAATAAAGCATTTAATTGTCTCTAAGATCTAAAATCTCGCTCTATTATCTAATCATTTTTTTTTAGCAAACGAAATTTTCTGAAATTGAAATAGATTATATAACTAGACTTAGATCTAGAATCTGCTACTTAAATTAAATTGTAAAACTTTATACAAGCATGTAGTTGATATTATTGTAGTAGAAGGCTTTAATAAATTACTAAGGCCTACCTACTTTGTTGTCTTTTTACAGCAATATGTATCTGATACTGGACTGAGTTTAATTAAATTCAAATTCATATCTAGTAATTGGTCTACTAAGTTTTTGTAGCCTAGTAGTACAATCTAGATCATACCAGCCAACAACAAATAACCACATAATTATTATTTGGTTAATGATTAGGCTAATTTTTTTTTAAATCCACTGTTTATAAAAGAAACAAATCAAGCTAGAAACATTATAAGTGAGATGGTTTAGAATAATAACAATGGACCCAGTCTACAATTGATACAATTGCAGGTCTACATAGGGCCTACAGTCTAGTAGTTTACAGTAGGCACCTAGTGTGTAGCTAGTATACTAGTGTGTAGCTGTCCAGAGTTAAGATTCTTAATGCCTTAATGCTTTCCCCTGATAAGCCGTGTGTGCTATAAATGACATAACATGACACCGAGGTGAGAAGTGTTGAGGGGAGAGCAGTGGGACTTTCCCCTTTGTTCTCCCTGCTGGGCCCCGAGGGTCAAAATTATATAAGAAATACTATCTCTGTGGGGCTGGGTATCACGGAGGTGAGACATTTTCAGGGGAGGGCAGGGCAGACTCCTCTTTGGTTTTATTGTGGGCTAGATACAGGTGGGGGCAGCCATTATGAGGGTTGAACGTCAGTATTAATGTGGATTTTAAGGGTCTTAAATTGTATTACATGCTACCCAGATTGGTTATTACCCATGGATTATATTAGCCGTTGTAGTGTGGGTTTTGTAGGAGTTAAGTGGTCTCACGTTTGCTACAGTAGATAACCTCTAATATATTACTGCATTTGATCAGCTTCGTCTACTTAAACTCTAAACGCAAACGGTATTACTAACAGTATTTTTATTTAGAAATTTCGGCCACATATTTATATTATCCACGAAACTGTCAATAACTGTATAAGGATCTTCAATTCCTAAGAGTTCAAGTTTTTTAACATATTTTTCCTTTTCCGCGGGCGCTATTCTTTACATACGGTGAACACGTCCAGTGCTGGCGAACAGCTGATTGTGTTTACGTCTGATGTACACCACTGTGGCGGCGGGCGTAGGTATCACGTGATTTAGGTCACGTGTTTGCAAGGACTCTATAACTTGAGTACTATTTCAGATAGATTAATAAAATTTCACATGTAAGTAAAAGATATAATTCTCTATCTAATATCAAATTTTGAGTAATTTACGTTGACCGGAAGTAGTAATTTAACCTATTTCCAATTTCTCAAAAAAAACGCATGTGAATTTATAAAATACGAATAATACTCCGCACTACTATGCACATTTTATTTGGCGTTCACTTGGTGTGCAATTATTTTTTCTACGATATTTTATTCTATTTTAGAAAGTGTAAGTGTTTAAAATGGATTAAAAAACATGTCTATATCCCGAGTTCCCATCCCCTGTTGTATTATATAAGAATATTCGAGAAAGCTTAGGGGAGATCACTCCCGGTTTATTTTTTCAAACCTCAAAAATAAGTACATCTTAAATTAAGAACATTGAAATTTGCTTCCCTCGGTTTTTGTGAAAACTAAAAAAAGTTAAGTAAAAAAACACAAATTGTGGTTTTTTTTTATAGTTACATGTAGGGATCAACGGTTCTTTGATTTAAGCAACCTCTATGCCTATAACCTATACGTTTGATATACATGTTCACACTCTCGTCAAAAATGTCTTTTTAAAAACTACGTGAGACTGCTGCCATGTTGGGCGTCGATGAAGGGGGGTTCTAGTCCCTTTAACGATCCATTGCCTATGCTTATGAATGACGAAGACGAGCTGTAACGGCGGCCTCCTGTCTCACAAAACGTAGGCCTATGACATGAGCGTTCTCGTCAAATATGATGGCTCGTTCACTCTTCCACTGACAGCTATGTTTGCACTGTACGTGGGTGGGCAGTGGTGCATGGGGCAAAGATAAGGGGGGGGGGGGTGCTGACAGTGCATTCGAGTTTTAGGTGCACACTTATTTTCTGTTAGCATGGATTGAACTTTCATCAATCTTTTTTTATAATAATTAAGAGGTTAATGATCAAATCATCAGCTTTTCTTTTATTAGCAAACAAAAATTCCGCCTATCTAAAATAAAACAATATTTTAGTTGGTCATCAAACCTTCAGTAAACTTTTGTTTAAAATAAAGTGACCTGTCCTATAGAGCGTACTGCTGCTTATGAGAAAAGAAAAAAAAAGATTTGTTCCGCTTTTTTTTTTTTACAAAATGAAATCGTGTCCCGTTCTGGCATTACGCTTTTGTCGTAGTTTTAAAGTATGTTCCCTTTTATAAAAAAAAAATTGAAAATCTAGAAAAAATAATAATAAATCGGATTAAAAGTAAACCGGGAGTGATCTCCCTTAAATTTTCTCGAATATTCTTATGTTACATTACGGGGGATGGCAACTCGGGATATAGAACATATTTTAAATCCATGTTTAATTACTTAAACTTTTCAAAATAGAATATAATCGCGTAGATAAAAAGAATTGTGTACCATGTGAACGCCAAACAAAATGTGTATAATAGTGCGGAATACTATTAGTACTTTATAAATTCACATGCGTTTTTTTTAGAAATCGGAAATAGTATAGACTACTACTTCCGGTGATGGAAATTACTCAAAATTTGAGAGAAGGCAGAGAATTAGATCTTTTACTTACATGTGAAATTTCACTTATCTATCTGAAATAGTACTCAAGTTTTAGGCTTTTGCAAAATTGAAAGTAGAAAAAGTTCCACTTCCGGTTATCGGAAATCGCTGAAAAGATGAAACAGATCTACAAATTTGATATAATAGTATTATATTATTACAGATAGGTTGATTATATTTCATATATAATTATTATTATTACTTATATATGAAATTTCATCAACCTAGCTGTAACGGTACTCAAGTTGTCGTGTTTACACACACACACACACACACACAGACATACGGACAAGATTGCAAAACTATGTTTTTCCGACTCAGGAAGGTGAAAACGTCGTGATTTGAAAAAATCTCGATTTTTTTTCGCACGATTAAAAGACTTTCTCTATACTTCGTATATACGAGAAAGTAAAAAAAAAACGAAGTTATAGTTCAAGTAATACATAAATACCGGTATACAGTTTTGTTCATATCAAGATATAATTAATTCCAGTTATTTAAGAACAGTTTGAAAAAAATGTTATGTATAGATTAATGGTATTAACAATAAGGCTCACTTCGGGATCTTTCGGCTTTTTGTGTCTCTTCCATTCAATGTGCTAATAATTCTAAAAATTTAGATAACGCTTTTCAATAAGTTTAGAGCAGTAGTCTAAACGTCAGTATAGACGTTAGAAATGGGCGTTGCCTACATTTAAGACAAAAATGCCATTTTCTGTGTTATGATCTGTGCATGCTACCTAACCGGTTAAATTATCTATAATAATAGTTTCGCTGTCTGTGTATCTATCTATCTATGTATCTATGTATCTATCTGACAAGAACGCTCTAGAGAATACACAAGCAATTTAAAAACTTTCACAGTGAAACGAAAACGAAATATGACGTCACATTTAGCATATAGTAAAAAATAATCTCAAGCCGGAGAGTGCACCCAGTAATATGACGTCATTGATTCTCGAGTAAACATTGAATAAAAAGGCAATTTTGTCTAATCTAAGTGGTTTGCGTGAAGAGTTTCTTTCATACAATTCTTCGGGTAGGGGCGAAGCCCATCCCCCGCGTAAGAACGTCTAAGCCGACCCCCCCCCCCCCCCCACCACAACTCAAAAGAAATGTCGTCATCGATACTCTATAATAAAAATAAAACCTAATTCATGTGTCTAATGTAAAAAGTGGGTTGCTTGCAGAGTTTATTTCATGCATCTCTTCGGGTAGGGGCGAAGCCCATTTAACCCCCCCCCCCCCCCCTGGTAGAACGTCTAATCCCTTCCCCTAAAAAGTTTCTTTCATGCAGTTCTTCGGGTGGTGGCTAAGCGCGAAACCAGTGTTTCTTTCAGACTTTTTCCTCCCCGGAGGAGGGAACTTTTTCTAATCTAAAAAGTGTTTAGCGTGCAGTTTTTTTTCATGCATCTCTTCCGGTAGGGGCGAAGCCCCGGCCAGGTTCTTCCTTTAGTTTGTATGAACAACAAATGCGACCAGTGTTTCTTTCAGACTTTTTCTTCCCTGGAGAGGGGTGGGGGTACTTGAAATTTTCGGGGGCGGGGGTAGAATTTTCTGGGAGGGGACGGACACTGGAAAAAGTATATAATTATATTTCGTTGAATGGGACGGTAGACATGTTTTGGGGCGTATGTGTGTGTGTGGGGGGGGGGGGCGGAGCCCCCTCCTCCAAAGTAGAGTTGCCTGAAAGAAACTCTAAATGTGACTTTTGTCATGTATGAGATTAAGTGCATCGTTTAGGGATATGCTTAGGACTATATTTTGTATACATTAAAGTACCGATTCTGGATAAAAATCCGTTTTCAATGTCATTTTTCGTTTCCGGTTAAATTTAATTAAGGTGGTGATTTTGGTTTTGGTTTTAGTTTAGAGAAAATAGACAGCACTATCAACCTAGCGCCCGTTTATCCTTCCTCAACGAGCCATTTTTCTCGTATTTTATATCTATCATGTATTGCAAACTTTTGACTAGTGTTTAGTGTGTTGATACTCTAACCCTAGCTGTATAATCAAATATCTCTATAGAAACCTGTACATATATTTTAAGCAGATAACTAGTTAGAATTTTAAATAAAATGTAGGTATCTGGTTAGGATTTAAAATAAAATGTAGGTATCTGGTTAGGATTTTAAATAAAATGTAGGTATCTGGTTAGGATTTTAAACAAAATGTAGGTATCTGGTTAGGATTTAAAACAAAATGTAGGTATCTGGTTAGGATTTAAAACAAAATGTAGATTACTGGTTAGTATTTAAAACAAAATGTAGGTATCTGGTTAGGATTTAAAATAAAATGTAGATTACTGGTTAGGATTTTAAACAAGTTCAAATAGAGAAGACGTGTACAGGTGCAAGATAAGTTTTCGCTATGAAAAGGCGCTCTTGCTAACCTCCAAAGCTTAGCATTCAAACGGCTTTGTTTGAAAGTACACATCGGCTCTAGGTAATTACCAGGGACCAATCAATCAGGAAAGAACAGGTAAAGATGGCAACAAGGGCGCTGGACAGTAAAGTTGTTGAAAGACACCATCTCCAAGCATGTGTACAAGGTAACTAAAGTATGGTAATTATACAATATTGCTAGTTTATGTTTGTGTCTAGTTAAAACTTTAGGCAGCCACAAGTAACTAAAGTATGGTAACTATACAATATTGGTAGTTTATGTCTGTGTCTGATTACAACTTTAGGCAGCCACAAGGTAACTAAAGTATGTTAACTGTACAATATTGGTAGTTTATGTTTGTGTCTGATTACAACTTTAGGCAGCCACAAGGTAACTAAAGTATGGTAACTAAACAATATTGGTAGTTTATGTCTGTGTCTAGTTAAAACTTTAGGCAGCCACGAGGTAACTAAAGTATGGTAACTATACAATATTGGTAGTTAATGTTTCTGTATAGTTAAAACTTTAGGCAGCCACAAGTAACTAAAGTATGGTAACTATACAATATTGGTAGTTTATGTCTGTGTCTAGTTAAAACTTTAGGCAGCCACGAGGTAACTAAAGTATGGTAACTATACAATATTGGTAGTTTATGTCTGTGTCTAGTTAAAACGTTAGGCAGCCACAAGGTAACTAAAGTATGGTAACTATACAATATTGGTAGTTTATGTTTGTGTCTAGTTAAAACTTTAGGCAGCCACAAGTAACTAAAGTATGGTAACTATACAATATTGGTAGTTTATGTTTGTGTCTAGTTAAAACTTTAGGCAGCCACAAGGTAACTAAAGTATGGTAACTATACAATATTGGTAGTTTATGTCTGTGTCTAGTTAAAACTTTAGGCAGCCACAAGGTAACTAAAGTATGGTAACTATACAATATTGGTAGTTTATGGCTGTGTCTGGTTACAACTTTAGGCAGCCACCAGTTCGGAGTTCTGGTAATTCTTTTCTTTTTTTTTTCTACGTCAAAATTCAACCATATGGCGCACGATTTTCACAGAAACCTTTACGGTACAAGAATGCATAGACAAGATTGGATTTGGGAAATTTCAGATCAAGCTATCTATTCTTGCGGGACTAGCATGGGTAAAGTATTTTACTAACAGCTCAAGTCGTCTACGATCAGATTGATCTAACATTATGTGCCACCATTTTTATTTAACGACACCTGCTAACACTTTTATTTAAAAATCATCCCCCACCACTTAAATCTAACAGCATCCACCACAATAAGTAGTGGTGGTCTGTGAATCGTTTGTTCAAGTGTATACTTGCAAACTGCAATAAGGGTGCGTCATATTTATGTGCACGGTCTTTAAATTAAAAGTCCAAAGAAATCAAACTAGTAACGAATCCAGTGATGGTGAAGATTGGTGAGGAATGTGTGGGCTTTAAGGAGAGCAATCGAGAACATAAAGAAAATGGCGGTTCAAATTATTTTATACATGTATTGCAACGTAGACATTATTTTATACATGAGTAGCAATATATATATATATATATATATATATATATATATATATATATATATATATATATATATATATATATATATATATATATACCAATTTCTATTTCTACATTTAAAAAGCTGCATATCATACTCGCTGATAGATGAATGAATTGTAATGTTACTGCTGATATAGATGGTAGATGCTATGGAGATGATGGTTCTGGCGATTCTGTCACCTGCACTACATTGTGAATGGAGACTGAAGGGATGGCAGGAGGCTTTAATTACAACTGTAAGTGAGGCTAAAAGTTTTCTTTAGGCCCGGTATAAATCATGGGCACTTGATAAGGCATCACTAAGTTGTTTGAGTTAAGGTGTCACAATGTATAAGTTGTTTGAGTTAGTGTGTCATTATGTCTAAGTTGTTTGAGTTAAGGTGTCACAATGTATAAGTTGTTTGAGTTAGTGTGTCATTATGTCTAAGTTGTTTGAGTTAGTGTGTCATTATGTCTAAGTTGTTTGAGTTAGTGTGTCATTATGTCTAAGTTGTTTGAGTTAAGGTGTCATTACGTCTAAGTTGTTTGAGTTAAGGTGTCATTACGTCTAAGTTGAGTTAAGGTGTCACTATATTCAGATTATAAAAGTGAAGTTATATTCAGGTTGTGTTTTGCGGTATGATGATAAGCTCTAGTGTGTGGGGATCCATATGTGACAAGTACGGACGTAGGACGGTAAGTAGAAAACTTCTGGGTGTAGTTGGGGCATCTGGGGCTATGGGGGTAGTTGGGGCATCTGGGTGTAGTTGGGGCAGCTGGGGCTATGGGGGTAGTTGGGGCATCTGGGTGTAGTTGGGGCAGCTGGGGCTATGGGGGTAGTTGGGGCATCTGGGTGTAGTTGGGGCAGCTGGGGCTATGGGTGTAGTTGGGGCATCTGGGGCTATGGGTGTAGTTGGGGCAGCTGGGGCTATGGGTGTAGTTGGGGCATCTGGGGCTATGGGTGTAGTTGGGGCATCTGGGGCTATGGGTGTAGTTGGGGCATCTGGGGCTATGGGTGTAGTTGGGGCATCTGGGGCTATGGGTGTAGTTGGGGCATCTGGGGCTCTGGGTGTAGTTGGGGCAGCTGGGGCTATGGGGGTAGTTGGGGCATCTGGGGCTATGGGTGTAGTTGGGGCAGCTGGGGCTATGGGGGTAGTTGGGGCATCTGGGGCTATGGGGCTATGGGTGTAGTTGGGGCATCTGGGTGTAGTTGGGGCAGCTGGGGCTATGGGTGTAGTTGGGGCAGCTGGGGCTATGTGTGTAGTTGGGGCAGCTGGGGCTATGGGGGTAGTTGGGGCATCTGGGCTATGGGTGTAGTTGGGGCATCTGGGTGTAGTTGGGGCAGCTGGGGCTATGGGTGTAGTTGGGGCAGCTGGGGCTATGTGTGTAGTTGGGGCATCTGGGGCTATGGGTGTAGTTGGGGCATCTGGGGCTATGGGTGTAGTTGGGGCATCTGGGACTATGTGTGTAGTTGGGGCATCTGGGGCTATGGGTGTAGTTGGGGCATCTGGGGCAATGGGTGTAGTTGGGGCATCTGGGGCTATGGGTGTAGTTGGGGCATCTGGGTGTAGTTGGGGCAGCTGGGGCTATGGGGGTAGTTGGGGCATCTGGGGCTATGGGTGTAGTTGGGGCATCTGGGGCTCTGGGTGTAGTTGGGGCATCTGGGGCTCTGGGTGTAGTTGGGGCATCTGGGACTATGTGTGTAGTTGGGGCATCTGGGGCTATGGGTGTAGTTGGGGCATCTGGGGCTATGGGTGTAGTTGGGGCATCTGGGGCTATGGGTGTAGTTGGGGCATCTGGGGCTATGGGCGTAGTTGGGGCAGCTGGGGCTCTGTGTGTAGTTGGGGCATCTGGGACTATGTGTGTAGTTGGGGCATCTGGGGCTATGGGTGTAGTTGGGGCATCTGGGACTATGAGTGTAGTTGGGGCATCTGGGGCTATGGGTGTAGTTGGGGCATCTGGGGCTATGTGTGTAGTTGGGGCATCTGGGGCTATGGGTGTAGTTGGGGCATCTGGGCTATGGGTGTAGTTGGGGCATCTGGGGCTATGGGTGTAGTTGGGGCAGCTGGGGCTATGGGGGTAGTTGGGGCATCTGGGGCTATGGGTGTAGTTGGGGCATCTGGGTGTAGTTGGGGCAGCTGGGGCTATGGGGGTAGTTGGGGCATCTGGGGCTCTGGGTGTAGTTGGGGCATCTGGGTGTAGTTGGGGCAGCTGGGGCTATGGGGGTAGTTGGGGCATCTGGGGCTCTGGGTGTAGTTGGGGCATCTGGGTGTAGTTGGGGCAGCTGGGGCTATGGGGGTAGTTGGGGCATCTGGGGCTCTGGGTGTAGTTGGGGCATCTGGGTGTAGTTGGGGCAGCTGGGGCTATGGGTGTAGTTGGGGCATCTGGGGCTATGGGGGTAGTTGGGGCATCTGGGGCTCTGGGTGTAGTTGGGGCATCTGGGTGTAGTTGGGGCAGCTGGGGCTATGGGGGTAGTTGGGGCATCTGGGGCTCTGGGTGTAGTTGGGGCATCTGGGTGTAGTTGGGGCATCTGGGGCTATGGGCGTAGTTCGGGCATCGGGTGTTCTGGGTGTAGTTGGGGCATCTGGGGCTATGGGTGTAGTTGGGGCATCTGGGGCTATGGGTGTAGTTGGGGCATCTGGGGCTATGGGCGTAGTTGGGGCAGCTGGGGCTATGGGCGTAGTTCGGGCATGGGGGGTTCTGGTTGTAGCTGGGGCATCTGGGGCTATGGGTATAGTTGGGGCATCTGGGGCTATGGGGGTAGTTGGGGCAGCTGGGGCTATGGGGGTAGTTGGGGCATCTGGGGCTATGGGTGTAGTTGGGGCATCTGGGGCTATGGGGGTAGTTGGGGCATCTGGGGCTATGGGCGTAGTTGGGGCAGCTGGGGCTATGGGCGTAGTTCGGGCATCGGGTGTTCTGGGTGTAGTTGGGGCATCTGGGCTATGGGTGTAGTTGGGGCATCTGGGGCGATGGGTGTAGTTGGGGCATC